AGACACAGCATGCATGCTGGGTATGATGGCTATTCTCAGTTGTCAGTTTGACTACTTCTGAAATGAACTAAAACCCAAAAATGGAGGGCACACCTGTGAGAGATTTTTTTTTTTTTTTTTTTTTTTTTTTTTTTTTTTTTTTTTTTTGCTTAATTTGAAGTAGGAAAATCCACTCCTAATTTGTATCTTTGTGGTAGGAAGATGTTCCTTTAATCCATATCTTGAGTTGAGAAGACACACCTTTAATCTGGATCATTTTAGGTGGGAAGATTCACCGCTAATCTAGGCCACACCTTCTGCTGGAAGCCTATATAAGGACATGAAAGAAGGAAGCGTTTGCTCTTCGTCTGCTTGCTCTCGCCTTGCTAGCAAATCCATTCCCTCACTGGCATTAGAGCCTACTTCATCAGATTTCCAGCATCTACTGAAGACCAGCTGAGACACCAGTCTCATTCTTGAATTCTTGGATTTTTCTATTCATAGCTAGCCATTCTTGAATTAGCCAGACCACAGCTCTATTTCTATCTATACCTATATCTATCTATATTTATATGAAAAGACTGGAAACCCACTATTATATATATATTATATATATATGTATATTCTTAAGTTCTGTTACTCTAGAGAACCCTGATTAATACAGTAGGTATACAGATGCAGGAGAAGGCAGGCGCTATACAAAAGACCCATAAAAGAGCACGACTCTGTCACCCAGAGCCATTGAACTTCCAGCCTTTCCTGTTCTCTGGTCCTCAGAATGTTCCCTTTCTTAATGAACTGTTTCTACCACTATCCACATGTCCCTGGTCTACTTCCTTGTTCTGGGACACAAGAAACCGGGCAATTCCAGAAGGTGCTGCCTGGACTCCACTGTCCACCCACAAGAGGCAGATTTGCTGAGTTTGGTCTGCTCACACACTAGTTCAACATGGAGGCTTGAGCTCACATCTGGATATGGTCTTACCATATCTCAAATCTTACCTGGCAGAGATCTCTGGTCAAACCTATAAGTAGAAAGTTCATAACTTCTTTGGCATCAATTTTCAACTGATAAATAATATTTAAAACTTTTTGTTTTCACTACTTTCTTGTCTCTCAAGGATAAGCAAGATAATTCATATCTTACCAACCAAGGTTTAAATGCCAAAGCTTATGGTAAAGTTCCCCACTGTCAAATTTTAAGGCTCAGCTCTGAATTCCCATTGCAAATTCACACTTGGTTTTCCAATTAAAATGGGCTTTTGTGAGTCCCCTGACTGTAACTATTGGCATGATAAAAATTTGCAGCGAGGGTGTTTAGGGAACCCAGGGTAAGGATGATTCTTGCAGTTGTCTTGAGCCCAGCTGTGCTGAAATATTAAACTTTAGTAAATCAGGTGAAGTTGCAGCTTCCTGGCTGATATCCTAATGTCCTTTTCTTTTTCTGCAGATCATTCTTAGTATGAGTTGTCTACACAGAAATACAACTCAGGATATCTTCCAAAGCCAGGCGACCCCTATGCACTTAAAAAAATGGAATAAACTTTTAACTATGTAGAACCATATCACCATTTCACTTTACATTACTTAATGTTTATTGTGGGAGCCTGTTTTCAGGTTCCTCATGGCTTTATTCAGCAGATCCTCATAGAGGATGATTAGGGCCACGGGCCTGAGTGCAGGTGTCTGAAATGGTCTGCACTTGGCTGTGCTGGGGGAGGAGGTCTTTTGCTCCACCCCTTGGCGTCTCTATGAATACCCTGGGGCAGAGACAGTCGGGGGCCCATTGGAGTAGGTTCCAGGCCCTCTTGAGGCTATCCTTTATTTTCTATCTGTTTATCTCCGCAATATTCTCCGCAATATAAATCCTTCTATCTAATATTTCCTGCGGCTCGCACTCAAGAAAACTCTGGGGAGCTGTGGGGTTGGTGGATAAACGCCCCACACTTTATTCTTCAAAATTTTGACTTCAATGTTTTGTGTGTATGGATATAAACAGGATGTGGTATGCCTGAGTATAGACACATGTGTGCCACCCCTGTGTACAGAGGTCAGGAGACAACTCTTAGGAGATGTTTCTCTCCTTCCACTAAGGGGTTCAGGGATCAAACCCAGGCTGTTAGATTTGCACGGCGAGTGTGTTTATTCATCGAGCCACCTCGTCAGCCCTGCCTCATCATTTTAGCACTGTCGGGATGTCGCATTCCTTGATATCATATGCACAATAAGCAACTGAATCCCTAAAAAGTCAGCATTGTGTAAAAGCGGCAGCTTTTTCTTTCTTGATTAGTACGTATTTTAATGGCAGTGGTGGGCTGGAGAAGGAAATCATATCCTTAGTCACATTTGTTTTCGGCTTCATGTTGCTTTTTCCTCATTAAGAATAACATTAGTTCCAAAGTGGTTTTATTCATTGACTATTTACTGATCAACTAACTACTCTGTGCACACCTCTGGTTCGGTTTCAGACAAGTATTTTTTACAGTAGATACAGATTAGCACAAGGGGACTAGGAAGTCTCTCTCTCTCTCTCTCTCTCTCTCTCTCTCTCTCTCTCTCTCTCTCTCTCTCTCTCTCTCTCTGTAGGTCAGAGAATGACAATGGGTATCTTCCTCTGTTGCTCTCAACTGTGTTTATGAGATAGGGTCTCTCAGTAAACCTGGTTAGATTGGCTGTATAGTGAGCCCTCGAGATCTGCCATTCCTCCCTACCCCAGTGTTGGAGTTACAGGCTCGAGCGAGCTATCATGCCTAGCTTTTTTTTTTTTTTTTTTTTTTGGTTTTTCGAGACAGGGTTTCTCTGTGTAGCTTTGCGCCTTTCCTGGAACTCACTTGGTAGCCCAGGCTGGCCTCGAACTCACAGAGATCCACCTGGCTCTGCCTCCCGAGTGCTGGGATTAAAGGCGTGCGCCACCACCGCCCGGCTATGCCTAGCTTTTTATGTGGGTGTTGGTGATCGGAATTCCAGCCCTCCACTTTACCCACCAAGATCTTTTAAATTAAGATTTTCCCATGATGATAGAGCATTAAGGTTGCTTTTGAAATAATCTCATCTGGTTGAAAGTAGAATGAGTAATCAAAACAAGCTCCCACTTGACAAATGCTGAGAGGTTTATGCTTTGTTGGTGTATTCCAGGGATCTAGAGTTAACAGATACTGCATAGGAAGCTTACCTACCCTTGGGGGCTAGGGCAGATACTTGACCATGCCTGGGCAGGGTAACTTAAGGCTGAAAGAGTTGAGACCGTTTTCTAAAAGAATAATTGGAAAGCCATACTCTGTCACCTCACCACTGGCTCATAGTTCTGCAACAAGTGAGATTCTAACAAGTACATGAGATACTACTCAGCATGGTCTGGCATAAGCACCCTTGTCCTGGTCAGTTACAGCTGCTCAGACATACTATTGCCTGGGGAGGGGGCCGGGAATGACGCAGCAAAGTCTTTAAAGACCTGGAGGAGAAGTTTAAGTTTCCTCTTGGTGGGCACCTAGTTGCCCTTTGGCTGTACCCTCACAGAATAGTGAGAAAGCAAAGTCCTGCCTCCCCCCTCCCGCATGCGTGTGTGTTTATGTACAGAAACCAGAGGTTGGTGTGCCTTCCTCTATCATCCTTTACCTTATTGCTCAACAAGCCAATCTCTCCAGCCTCATGTTTCTTTGGAGAAAGCCCTGCTACTCCCATCTTGAGAGAGCCACCCTTTGGATTCAGTCACCCGGGAGACTAGAGTGTCAACACACAAACTGCCTAACAACCTATAACAATGAGAAAAGAAATATTTTATACAAATTAACTTCAACGATTTATTTGAACAAAGAAGGATTCATGAATTTGGCAGCATTCTGAAACAGAAGAGGTTGGGGGGTTATCTGCCCAGTAGGGGCGGCAAGCTTTTGGTGGGCAGGCACGAAGAGTCTTAGTAGACTGCGCACCTGATTGGCTCCCTCTATAACTGACTTATTTGCATGGTGTGATGAGTTGGCTGCCTATGATTGGCTGATGCCATTTCCCCATTATTGGCTGAAACTCTCGGTGGCGTCCATTATATTTTCAATTAGGTTCTGAGTTAGGCAAGAATTCAAAATGCAGAGATTGCCTCCATTGGCAGTAGGCAAACCCGTTTTTCTGGAAATTAATAGGGCAGTAAATATTTCAGATATAGAAAGCTATAGGGCTCCCTGTCGTCACTCCTCAGTTCTGCCTTTATAATGATATAGTCACACAATCGCATGGCCGTCGACAATACAAAGCACTGGACGCGAAGATGTCCAATAAAAACAGCTTTTAGAAAGCAGGTGGGGGTGGATCTGGCCAAAGGTGGAAGGATTGGCCACCCTTAAAGCTTTCCTGGTAACGTGTCAGCTGTCACTCTGAATCTGCGTTTCATCGACGGGAGGTAATTTCCTTTATCCTATGCCAAGGTCTACTCAAACATCACCACGTCCCTGGTAGCTTCCAGGTACGTGGGAGGATCCAGCCTAACAACTCCCTTTGCAAACTTTTGAAGCGGGTCCTTTCTCCTCTCGTCTTCAGCCCTCCAGGTCCTAGGCTCGGGGCCCCCAGCAACGCAACAGAGCCGCAGTGTGATTGGGTGGGCCGCGTGGAGCTTCCCAAGAGCCACGCGCGCACCCGGGCGAAGGTGAGAGCGCCGAAAAGTTAGAGCCCAATCAGCGCAGAGTTGAGAGCTCGTGCCCCAACCTTCAGGTGACCCCGCGCGGCGGTGGTGGCGGCGGCGGCGGCGGCGGGAGGCAGAAGCAGCAGCGGCTGCAGCGACCAGAGCCCGCAGCGGCTCGGAGCGCCTCCGGGAGGACAGGCGGAGATCTCGGAAGGATCGTCATCCGCTAGCCGACAGCGAGCTTCGGCGGCCGGGGGCTGGCTTGGAAGAAGCGAGCGAGCCGGGACGCTGCTTCCTCGGCTCAGTGCTCCACAACACTGTTGCAGGCTGGGCTCGGGGCAGTCCCCGAGAGTGCGGGCCCGCGCCACCGCCTTTGAACGCTGGGGGTGTGCGTGGCAGCGGCCGCGGTGGCGGCGGCGGCGGCGGCGGCGGCCGGAGCGGCGAGTCGATGCCGCCCGGGATGCGCTTCGCCCAGGCAGCTTTGGCGGCGAGGGCTCCCGTGGCTCAGGATGAGACCTGGGGGCACGCTGCTCGCCCTGGTAGCCAGCCTGATGCTGCTGCTCCTGCTGCGTCTGCTCTGGTGCCCTGCGGACACGCCCGCTCGCTCCAGGTAATTCCCCGGCATCAGCTCGCCCCACCTGCAAGGTCCCGCGCACCCACGCCGAGCGCCTGGCGCTGCTTCCCGGGGAGCCCCAGCTCAAATTCCTGTGACCGGCCGCTCGCTCGCAGACTTTTGGCCAAAAGGCTCCTTGAGGGTGGGGTAGGGCTTGGGGTCGCAGAAAGGCGACACTTGGTTAGATGTCATGGTACGAAGTGGAAAGGGACCTGTCCGGGTTGGGAGGGCTCCAGACAGCGTCTCTGTGGGCGAGGGAGCTATGGAGCGGAACCTGCCGTCGAGGTTTCCCGCCAGGCTCTAGGATTTTCCCATTGTGCTCCTGGTTTTCTTGTCCTAAGGTTTTTTTCCTCCCTAACTCTAAGGTTGGGGACCCATCCTGGGAGTCGGGGTGAGCAAAGATGCCCTGGTTACGTTTAGAGTATGATGCTCAGCCTGCCAGCCAGTGGCTCCCAAGGAAGGTGGTGTAATAACTTAAGTTTTGTCGCTGGCTGTTCAGGCTGTCGGTGGAGGAAAGCAGGGAGGACACCCGTGGCACCTCGGCAGCAATGAGGACTATCTGGAGCCCGGTCACCTCAGTACCGCTCACCAGGAACAGGTACCAGGGCCTTTAGGGGCGGGTGGGCAAGGACTGGGCAAGGCTGCACCTGTGGGACTCGCTTGAGTGGTCTGCCTGGGGCCACGCTACTGAGGTGTGTGTGTGTGTGTGTGTGTGTGTGTGTGTGTGTGTGTGTGTGTGTGTGTGTGTGTGTGTGTGTAGGAGAGAAACTCTATGCACGTCAGTCTTTTAAAACCCATCTCTCCGTGTCAGTATTCTTTCAACCAAGACACTAAAAAACAGCCATACTTTAAAAGACTGGTGCTGAATTCTGTAGATAATGGAGTGTGGAAAAGCCCAGAGAAGCCACCCGCCTGTCTTCACTGAGGGGTTTGGTTGGTGTGCTGTTTTCTGTGCTTTGAAGTGCATCTGTGTGGAGGGAGGTTCAGGCTTGGAGAAATGCAATTTTTCTGTGTGTTGTGAGTGTGATTGTCTTGGGTGAATGAGGACTTAAATTTTTTTCCTTATTATACGAATGTGTATTTATGTACAGTAATTATTGGATATCTATTTTTCTGGTTATAGAAATAGCACAACTTAATGCAGAAAGGACATAGGGGAAATATATAAAAGAAATAAGTATTTACGCAGAGCCCCAGACCCAGATAGTTTCAGGTTGGGATTGGTTTATTTTATGTCCATGTAATGTCTGTTTCCTACATGTGAAAAATACATGTGAGATTGTACTTTGTAGTTCCTGTGCCGTCCTTTTTCCTTAAGTGATCATAGACCTGGACCTGATTTTACTGCCTCCCCCACCAATGTTGTTTGTTATTATTCACCATATTAATATTCTGTAGTTTACTTAAATAATTTTTGTCTTTACTTACTGAAATGTTCCCCTGTTTTCATTTCGTTTTGTTTTCTAGCAGATATTCCATTGAATCCATCATCCTTGTGTGTAAATCTTTATCTTTGTTTCAGACCCATTTCCTAAGAAGGACTGATAGAAAGTCAGATTACTGGGTCAAAGGGAACGTGCGTTTAATGTTCCAAATCACGGTTCCTTCCAATTGCTTCCTAGAAGGTTTGAATCAATTTCTGCTTCCACAGGCGGAGCGTGCTGCGTCCTGCTCTGCTTTGCTCTTGCGATGGCAATTTTGTGGACTGTCCCCCCTTTCTCTTTTTATCTCTTTTCCTCTCCATCCTTCTGTGTATTCCTGGCTCTGGGCTCCACCTTAATCTTCTGATTGAATGGCTGGACACTCCTTCCCACAAGGCTCTGGGCCTGGTGCTCAGAAAGATCTGGAAGTACCTGGAAGAAACTCTAGAGTGAGGAACTATTGCAGGCTGCCACAGACACCTCATTTGGATTCCATAGTCTGTTTAGGGCGTAGGAAATCCTGGAGTAGAGACACTTTTGAGAAGAACACTGGTATATAGTTTGATTTCGCTCAACTTTATGGACATGAAAGGCATAGCTTTCTCTACGAACTGAGGTGGGGGGTGGGCCTTCTGTCTGCATGTCATCCAACTATTGTTTGTCCTGGGGTTTTCCCTTTGGGAAGTTCAAAAGCGTGCACTCCTTCAGTCATCTAGTCCCAGGTCTTTCCTGAGGCCACTGATGGGTTTTTATTTCTTTGGCATCCTTCTCTTCTTCTTGGCACGCTTCCTGAACTGATATAGGTAATTCATATTTTTACCGAATGTGGTCCATTTTATGAAGATTCTTCTCCTTTAAACCAGACTGCTGTGTTTGTAGAAAACCTCTTTGTCCTCTGATCTATTTTATATCTTTCTCATTCATGATTTTTATTATTCATGGAGTTGGGGGGGGGGAGCAGATTTTAATTCACTACTGCTTGGCTATGTAGAGAAATTGCCATTTCTTCATTTCTCGGTGGCCAGTCTGTTTTTCCTTATTACTGATGTTAGCAGTAATAAGAGTAGCCAAGATGCCATGAATGCTTCTTGTGCAGCAGCCACGGATCTAAGCATTTTATATTTATTAACTCATTTGTGCCTTCAAAATGCTAAAAGAAATGGTTGTCTTCATTTTATAGATTAAGAAATTGAAACACACGAATGAATTTCCTGATGTCATAGAGTTGTGCCGCCAAGAGTCAAACCCAGGCCACATGGAGCAAAACGCCCAATCTCAAACTCCATCCCGGGTGGTTTTTGTTTGAAGAGGTGCTGGGTGAAGTGGTGTGTGTGTGTGTGTGTGTGTGTGTGTGTGTGTGTGTGTGTGTGGCAATTTAAGTATCTCTTTCTGATAACATCCATCTCTCTTGAAATACAAACTCAGTGTGAAAGAAGGACCAGTATCAGCATAAGACACCCCAAGAGCAAGTTCTTAGCACAAAGGAGATTTATTTATCCCAGAGAGAGAAAGGGCAGGGAGTAAGAGACAAAGACGGGAGCTAGAGGAAGAGGGAGAAGGGGAAGGAAGGGAACAAGGGAGACGGGGCAGGGGTGTTTGTCCCCGAGGGACAGAGGACTGACTGCCTCTGGATACAGAGGAGACATTTGTGGCCTACAGAAAATGGCAGCTTATAAAGTGGAAAGGGGAAATCCCATATTAGGATGAGATATTTAATTTTGATCGGATCGGTTAATTAGGGCAGACAAAAAGGGGGCTTTTGATTGCTGGACTTCAGTATGTTGATAGCTGGACTTTAGTGGTCAGCCTCAGTAGTAGGAAATGGCCTAATAAGGTCACAGACCCTTGTGGCTAGCTTTAAGAATGCAATGTAATGGTTTTTAGCAAGGCAGAGGGAACAGGAGAGGGGTGAGGCTAGCCAGAGCCATGTTTGCCATGCCCAGGCCCGATAGAGCCCTTCACAGTGTATCAGACTGCTTTAGACCACTTCCTGTCACTCAAAGATGACATCTGCATACAGGGGGCAGGTGCATGGAAGCTGGAGTCCAGGAGCATGGTATGCCTTAACGCCTCTACCTCCAAAGTAATGTCCCTTTTCTGTTTGATGGTCAGCCACCCAGTCCCTTTTCTATCTGGTGGCCATCTTGCAGTCAGTGGCAGTTATAAGAACCACAGCTTGTGGCTGGTTCTTTCTCTTTCGACAGTCCCCTTGCTGGAGTGTCAGCAGCCGGAGAGCATCCTGATGCTGCCTTTTGGGATCTGCTGAAGATTCTCTTTCAGTCCTAGCCTGTCACTGAAACCATTGCTTCTGTCACTCAGTTCCAGCTAACTAGAACCAGTGCCAAACTTGGAGGAGGTGGCAGCTGCCTTCTGTCATTGTTACCTTGAACTTAGGCTGGTATTGTCCCAACCTTCTCTCATTAAGCCAGGACCCATACCTGACCTTTTTGCCCCAATGCAAATTCAGCCTTGATAAAATATCAGCTTTAATGGGAAGTTATGGGATGCAGAGGAGAAGGGACCGGAAAAGTGTCTTTCTGGTGAGGTGGTTGAGTATTAAAAGAAGTGATGCAATCTGGGCAATTCTCTGGAAACGGCAGCAAGATCTGTCATCTAAAGGGGAATACCTCTCAGTTCTCCTTGATCCCTTCAGTAAGAACTCCTTAGGTTCCCCACAGGATATGTCAAATCAATGAGGAGAAGGCCAGATATTAAAGACAGAAAATAAGATATACTAAAAAATTTCAAAATATAACAATGAATTCTTTCTTTTTCACATAAACTTTGTCAAAATCTGTCCTTGGTTTTTGGGCTCATACAATGAGCTTTTAGACTTGCTTCTACTTGAATGTATTTCTGTGCTCTATTTTCTTTGTGTTAAGAAGTTATCCCTTTTTTTTCCAATTTCTTGAAGTGCTGGCTTGAGTTATTATGTGCTTTTTCCATTGCCTTTATAATGAAAATATTTAATACTATGAATGTTCCTTTGAATGCAGCTTTAGGCTCATTTCAAAAAAATATTTTTACATGTGATACTACGGATTGATTTCATAGCTTCATGCATGTTAGGCTGTACCACTGAGATATATTCCTAGCCAAAGACTCATTTCTTAAGTTTTGATACATAGTATTCAGACTTTAAATATATAAAACAATTATATATTATGCACATTATAAATACATATATTCTAGGGGCTTGAAGGGTTAGTGGTTAAGATCATGTACTACTTTTGCAGAGGACCCAGGTTCGGTTCCAGCACCCATTTTTTGTGTTTCACAGCTACCTTTAATTTTAGCTCCTGAAGGAATCTGGCACCTCTGGCCTTTGTGACCACCAGCGCTCACAAGCACATGCCCATATACAAATCCCTGTACCCCATACCACATAATTAATATTAGTAAAGCAAATCTTAAATCTATTCTCAGTTGAGGATAGGAACATTTATTTGCAATAACACTTACATCATTTTTGTTTTATCTCCTAGTTATTTGGGGTATTAATTGAAATTTTTTAAGTTGATTTTTTTCTTAAATATTAATATTTTCTTGAATGATATTAATTTCATCTTCATTATAAGATAAATGTAGTAAATTTCTGCTGCAGAATCAATAAGTGATTTTCCAAGTAGTCAATGTTTAGAAACTAGAAATTGAGTGGTTAACTCAGACATCTGTGACAGCTGATCTGGAGTTCCCAGAATCCTTCACTGTGGCTTGGTACCCATTTATAGTCGTTTCCACTGGGCTTCAACATCAGTGATACTGAACTGGGGTCCTGAGGCTTCTTTGGATTTTCTGGTTAGTTGGTGCCTGTCTTGGCCCATCTGAAATATCTGGGTAATGAATTTTCTAGAGTGTTGGGATCTCAGCTCTTCTTTTAGTTTGCCTGCTGTTCACTTTAATAACCTTTCTCTTTTGGTTATTGTGACCTGGCCTTGTGCTCGGTTTGTGCCAATTTGAGAACCGGGAGTAGGCAGAGTTTATAATACATAATTGTATTATGTTCCTAGTCACATGACCCTCAAGGGTATTTCTGAGAACTCTTAAATGAATACACAGAAAAGAAAAATTCCCAGTCATTTCAACACCCAGAAGACAGCTACTCCTCATATTTTATTTCCTTCTTAATGTATTTATATGAATATATCTAGCTGTGCATTTTTTTTGGTACAGCATG